CCCCCAGGCACGCGCAATCGCCCGTTAACGATGCGCCTGGTCGCTGTCAACGCTGCTAAACCTCCTTTTGGCACAAGGATGGAGAGTTCCATCACAATGTGCCGTTCCCTTCCCATCGGATAAAGCAACCNGTTTTTGAATGCGAGGGCCTCCCCAGCGGTTGAACTCCTGGTTGCTGCGGAAGATTTGGCCAATTGTTGCCAGAATTTGAATTCCTAATGGACCGTATATTTGCGCGATGATGTCGCCCGTATCTGAGCCCGCTGGCCACCGGACTGTCACCACGATCGGTTCCAGTTCTAGTGTGGCTCTGTAGAAAGCCAAGCCTTCATTTGTTCCGTAAAAGCCATTGACGGCCTTTATCTTTTTGGTCGGTATGGATTGCGGTCTCGCGGCTGAGGTCGGCTGGCGGCCATTTTGAACATTGCCGCGGCTAACAGCCACTGCTGGTCGCCTCTGCGACATTTTCAGGCTAATTAGATAACCATAACTACGCTCAAACAATTGAGGTCGCTGTCGGTGGCCACGGCCGCGGTTGGCCGACGGTCATAGTAGCAGCTTAGTCAAGCTTGGTCTCATCCATACATATGTATGTATGTATGTATGTATGTATGTATGTATGTATGTATGTATGTATGTATGTATGTATGTATGTATGTATGTATGTATGTATGTATGTATGTATGTATGTATGTATGTATGTATGTATGTATGTATGTATGTATGTATGTATGTATGTATGTATGTATGTATGTATGTATGTATGTATGTATGTATGTATGTATGTATGTATGTATGTATGTATGTATGTATGCATGTATGTATGTATGTATGTATGTATGTATGTATGTATGTATGTATGTATGTGTGTGTGTATAGATGGATGGATGCATTCGGTAGGTGGGTAGGTAGGATGGTAGGAAGGTAGGTAGGGAGTGAGGGGGTTGGGGCCAACTGTCGACAGAAAAACCCCAACTCGTTCGACACGGGTGGTTGGGGGTTTTAGGAGGGAGTGTACATGTCATGCAGGCTGCACGGGCAGTGCTATACTGCGGCTGCCCCCCGGGCCCCTCTTCCCTTCTCCTCACCCACCTAATGGCGCTGGGCACACCCGCTGGCCCCTCCTCTCCCCTCCCCTCCCCCTCGGCAGGTCTGGATCTGCTGCTCCCCTGCGCTCCGGGCGCCGGGGCGGTGTTGGAGGTGGCGGACACGCTGGGAGTGCACCGTAAGCTGACAGAGGGGAGGGGGGGGAAAGGGGGGGAAGAGGGGAGAGGGGAGAGGGGGAGGGGAGAGGGGGAGGGGAGGGGGGAGGGGGAGAGAGGGGAGAGAGGGGGAGGGTAAAACTTCCCTGACAGGCGGGTGGGTGGGGATGGCGTGTTAGGGTTTAGGAAAGCAACCCCCCTCTTTCCCCCCTGTGTGGCCTGGGGGACCTCTCGGAGACTACCACCGCACGGCACGGCACGGGGTCGTGGGCAGCCGGGGTTACTACACATGTTGAGGGGTGCGGGGTGAAGGGGGCTGCTGGGGAACGTTTGCTGTTTGATAGTTGCGCGTTGCAGCTTCCATACCTCTCCCCTGCCGCCCCCGGGCCCCGCCCCCTTGCTGTACGGACGCTGTACTGGGGTGCTGCATTGAGGATCTGGCGCCCGCTGGGGGCCGACTGCCACCACTGGCTAGTTGACGCTGCCCGCTGGCATTACCCTACCTACCTACCTACCTACCTACCTACCCTACCTACCTACCTACCTACCTGTCTATCTCCTAGTTAGGCTCCAACTGGCTCAGACGTCCTCGGCGATAAGTACTTTCCCAGGGTTAGTGTCCCGTGGGGCCCCCCTTCATCTCCCCCATTTCCCCCCCCCCCCAAATGCCTTCAAAAGGCTTCGGTGGGGT